TTAAGAAATAGAAAACATGTACTGTGTTTCTGTCGAGTTATTTAGAAACATGAGTGGAAGTTTGGGAGAATGAGAAATGCTGTGGGAACACAAGCCATATGTAAGCGAGTGTTTCCGCAGCTTTTTCGAGTTCTCCCAAACTTTGACAAGTGTTTCTATAACTTGATAGAAACATGGAGAACATTGTTAGAAAACTCTGCGACAAAAAAAGGGAAACAACTTGTTTACTTTGATCATCAAAATGTAAATTCTCTTTGCTCGAGCCATCATTATGTCAACAGCTCATGTAAGTTTTGTGTTTCTACTGAGTTATAGAAACACGATTTTTAACCAATCAGCACATATATTTTCTTCGCGCTGTTTTCTAAAGCTATTTGGAGGTCTAGGGCATTTTAATATTGATGTACTATAGATACAAACACTGTAGAAAGTGCTACAATCCTTCTGCAAAGACTGACTCAGGGACCTCTAGATTTCAAATCCAGCTCCCCAAATTACATGTATATTGCCCCACACTACAAACATGTAATGTAGATTTATGTTACACATAGATTTATGGGATCTTTATCAGTAGCTGGGCATACACCCTTATATAAAAACAGTACCAATGTATAACAAAAATACACTTATGTAATTTACCTCAAAGGAATTCCCTTACATAATGAACTGTTAAACCCGCTGGTTATAAGACTCCTTAAACCTGCTGGTTGTAAGACTCCTTAAAACCGCCGGTTGTAAGACCCCTTAAGACCGCCGGTTATAAGACCCCTTAAAACCGCCGGTTATAAGACTCCTTAAAACCGCCAGTTATAAAACTCCTTAAAACCGCTGGTTATAAAACTCTTTAAACCCGCTGATTGTAAGACTCCTTAAAACCGCCGGTTATAAGCCAAAAAAACTAGCACGCGGCAAAACACAGGTGTCAAACTCTACAAATTACATGCAGATAACAGGGGAAACTACACAGACCTATGACCTCTGACAGCTCTACTCTGGTGAAATGTCCTCCTAAAAACAGGATTATTGCTTAACGAAATATTCAAAGATCCCCGTATTGTACCATACAAAAGGGGCAGATCCTCAATAATATACTATACTACTGTGGTTCGAACAAAACTCTCAAAACGGCTATTACACGTGGATAGGAGTTGTGTAGGCGTGTCACCCCATTGTTATCACTGGGTCTTATAACTGGTGGTTTTAAGGAGTCTTACAACCGGCGGTTTTAAGTGGTCTTATAACCGGCGGTTTTAAGGGTTCTTATAACCGGCGGGTTTGAGGAGTCTTACAACCGGCGGTTTTAAGGAGTTTCATAACCGGCAGTTTTAAGGGGTCTTATAACAGGCGGTTTTAAGGAGTTTCATAACCGGCGGTTTTAAGGGGTCTTATAACAGGCGGTTTTAAGGAGTTTCATAACCGGCGGTTTTAAGGGGTCTTATAACAGGCGGTTTTAAGGAGTGTTATAACCGGCAGTTTTAAGGAGTCTTATAACCGGCGGTTTTAAGGAGTTTCATAACCGGCAGTTTTAAGGGGTCTTATAACAGGCGGTTTTAAGGAGTTTCATAACCGGCGGTTTTAAGGGGTCTTATAACAGGCGGTTTTAAGGAGTGTTATAACCGGCAGTTTTAAGGAGTCTTATAACCGGCGGTTTTAAGAGGTCTTATAACTGGTGGTCTTAAGGGGTCTTACAACCAGCGGTTTTAAGGAGTCTTACAACCGGCGGGTTTTAAGGAGTCTGATAACCGGCGGGTTTAACAGTTCATTATATAAAGGAATTCCTTTGAGGTAAATTACATATTAAGTGTATTTTTGTTATACATTGGTACTGTTTTTATATAAGGGCGTATGCCCAGCTACTGATAAAGATCCGATTTATGTTACATATATGTGTACATGTGTGCTCTGTACTTGTAGTTATAGATTTTAGTCCATTTTATTAACTGTTTCTGTTCTTTGTTTTCAGTATTCAGTCTGGTGTCTTATTTGGTTTGGAATAAACCTTACCATCATGTCTCTTTATCTGGAGATTGATCGACTTACCCATGTAAGACTTACTTACATTTGTCTGTGATTGTATAAATGTGTTTAGTTAGTGTTTGCAGATATAAATCAATTTAAGTGTACATGTATGCATAGACTTTTGTGGTATTTACACTAGACGACTAAATAATGAAACATTTCCTGGTGGCAGTTGTAGCGCAAAGAAAGTAAAGTGGCCCATCAGGCTAGTGCTTACATGTATCTCTGGTTTCTATGTACAGGGAAGTAACTCTAGAAGAGTACTGTACAATAATCACATATTTCTACTCCCCCTGAATGGGAAGTTAGTCAATCTCAGGTTACTCCCCAGCAGTTACTTTGCTGGCATCCGATATACATTGTTATACCTCCCAACTCAAAATTAATATGTTTTTTGGCTGGAGGAGAACGTGTCATGTGTTGTGAGTCAAAACTCACTAACTCCCTAGGGAAACAACAACTCAGGGTTCTCCCTTGTTTTCAGTACAACAGGTAACAGAGCACTTTAAACTGGTAAAGCAATCAGTTGAATTGCAGCCTTGTTTATTAGGTCTACTCTGTGCATTACATGGAATTGAAATTTGCCTCATTCTTGTCAACTTCAGTGCCGAACTACCTTGCGAGGTAGTTTGTGTGAGTTGTCAGAACGTTCCTTGTGATTTTCTTGTTGTTCCTGTCAGGTTGTTTCAGCAGTAGCACTTACATGTAAGAGCTAACATAGAAAGCTAAACCAATTTTTTTCTTAGCCTTTTTTTTTCAGACGCTTGGTCAACCTCTCAATACATGAATCATCAATAACTTGCCCTACAAGTTTTCTATCCTGTATAATTTACGAAGTCATTCTTAACTTATTTTAGTTTTTATCCTTATATTATGTTATTTAGACAGGACCCCTTTGATAACAGTACTCTTGCACTGAAGGGCTATCCTGTATAAATATTCATCATCATCATCATCATCATTATTATTATTATTATTATTATTATTATCATTATCATTATTATTATTATTATTAAGGGTTGTAAAGAATGAGTGTAATTTGAAATTCGTTTGTAAGTTAGTATTTCCCTGACATATATATTGTTCTAAGAATTTTTACAGTTGTAATTTTTTATAAGCTACTAATAAACATTATTATTATTATTATTATTACTGAATTTCAAAAAAGGAAAGGAACTAATAAAAACATTTTCTTTGAAAAGACCTCCATCTAATATGCATTACAGTTTACTAATTTTACACCTTTGGCTTTAGATGTCAAATGGAATCAAACAGCATTTTCATTTTTAACAGTTTTTCGTTGTCTTAATTCTCTTGCCCTAAAGTCACAGAAAAGTACATGTAGGCAAAAGCCACTTCGGGGTATCCTCACTGGGCTTACATGAAGTGTCACTACAAAATCAGTTTCGTCTTTCAAAACCAAACGAAATTGCTGCATAATCGTCTTCATTCACGTTCTGGAAGGGTTTTATTGTGAAGGATTCTCTCAAAACATCTGAAAATAGATTTAAACACTTTTGACCTGAATGTGGAGCATTTCGTGATGAAGATGAAGTTTTCGATCACCACATGTGAATGTTGGTCAATTTAGCAACACCAGTTTTCTCAAGCCAATAGTTAGGTGGGAAGTTCATGGAACTG